TCTTGCTTGCTGGTCGCCTTCCTCTCCTGCGAGAACGGCGACCCCTAGCGGCTTGTGCTGGGCATCTGTGCGCTGATGGGGCCTCTGAGTCTGGCCTGGGCAGCTGCAGAGGAGGCTCTGGGCAGTTGCTGTGGACACGGCCGCTCTCAGGCTGCTCCCCTGCTATAGTGGAGCTAGCCCAGAGGGGGAATGAATCAGAGGCTGTTTATTGCCATGAGGGGCCTCAGAGCTGCACTGCCTCCCAGAGGGTTAGGGCACCCAGAGTTTCCTGGGATTCCTAGCTGCTGAGCTGAGTGTGCCGGGATGCTTCCGTCCAGCTGGCAGTCCCCTGTCCCTTTAAGACTTTCAAAAAGCCCTCACTTTTCTTTTGTCCCAGGGGCCCCGGCTGCAGGGACCTGCTCACAGATTTTACTGTTCCATTTCCCTAATATCCAGCACACCATGCACTGTGTGTCTGTGCTCCCATGGGGATGACTAGGGCTGGGTATTCAGCAGTCCTGGGCTCCCTCTCCCTCCCCGCTGTGACTCCTTTCCTCCCATGGGGACCTGGGGTATGGAGTGAGCTCGGGTCCTGCCGGGGCATGGCTTGTATCTTACCCCCTTCCTGTGGCACTGGGTTCTCGCAGGTGTAGATGTAGGCTGGCTATTGTACTGTATCTTCTGGTCTTTTAGGAATAGTTGTATTAGTTGTATTTTCAAAAATATATATGGTTTGAGGATGAGATTTCCACTGCCCTACTCATGCTACCACCTTGGCTCCTATCCCTGATCTCTGTGAATAGCATGAGTAAAACTCATTCTTAAAAATATTTTTTTTATTTAAACATTTTTCAAACTTTCAAAGAAATGGAATGGACATCTAATACCCATAATTTACATTTAACGTTGTCAACATTCTGCTATACTTTCCTCTGCCATTTTGATGTATATAAAGTATATAAATTACAATATTTTCAATCCCCAAATATTTTAGTATCTATCTCTAAAATATAAGCACATTTTCTTCAAAATCACTATTCCATTACTGCACCTTAGATGATTAAAAATAATTGCTTTGTATCACCTAATACCCATTCCACACCCAAATCTCTGGAGTTGATCCCCTGAATGTCTTATACAATTAGTTTGTTCAAACTAGGAATTAAATGGGGCCACATATTTGCACTGATATCTCAGTTTATGTACGAAATTTCCAACCGTTTTCCTTCATTCTCCTTTTCTTGCAGGAAACAGAACAAAATGAAACGATGCCAGAGGAAGACGTGAGAGTGTGGAACATTTTACAGGACAAATGATCTCCTTTCTTCAATAAATAAGAGGGAAAAAATTAAAAAGAGAACTGTCATAGATTATAAGAGACATCAGACGTGTAACCACCAAGTGCAATATGTGGATCTTGTATGGATCTTGAGTTAACAGAGCCATATGTAAAAGGCATTTCTGAGACAACATGGGAAACCTGAATATGAAATATATACATCTGAATATCATCAGCTATAGATGATATTCAGCCATTGTTGCTATTTTCATTTCTTAGTGGCACTGTGCAATATTCTCTAAAAGTGTCATTTCCTGTTACAGATGCACATGGAAGAATTTACTGGTACAGTTCCTGGGATTTGCCTTCTAACATGCCAGCAAAAAATGAGGAGGAGAGAATAATTAACAAGATGGCAAAATGTTGGTTAATGTGCAAGCTGGATGATGGGGTATCATTATGGTGTTCTTTCTACTTTTGTGTTATGTTTACATTGTTCCATAATTAAAATAGTTTTTGTGTATGACAGATGCCTTTTCTTCTTGTAATTAGTATGCCTGTCCAGAGATTTCATTTCCTAAGAAATGAGAATCAAGTCTGTGAAGTTAGTTTCTTCCTTACAGTGGATGATTCTTTCATCTTGGAACACACAGTTAAACTGTTTTTCTATCTATTGTTCATGAGAGCAGTTCCTATCTTTTCTGTAACTATTCGGCTTACTCACAGTTTCCTATATTCAGTCTTCTCTGTTTGCACAAATAGAAACTTATAAATAGGTACAGTCAATCCTTTCTGTGCAGGACTGTGTAGTGTAAGACCATAAAAATGACTGCTTTTCCTTTCTTCGGTTTTTTCACACACTGAAACCATGACAAACAATCTTAATAATCAATGGGAAAAATTACAATTGTTTGTGACCTTTAACATGTTTTATAAAAATATTAAAAACTCTCTTACTGGCAGTTATAACTATAGGAAACTGTATAGGAAATAAAACTGGGGAAAAAGATAAAGCTGATGTTTATTTAGTGTCTAGATAAAATATTAGAAACATGGATGGTTAAAGCATCTTATTTCTTTGTAAACAAATTTTTAAAATTTTTTCTGAGGGTGGGCAGACCTCGCCTCCTCACAGCAACAGCAGCTTTTATTAACAAGAAATTGAAGGTTTTTGGAAAAGGCTTTCAAAATGTAGACAACACGAAGGAAGCTATTTGTCAGTTCAGATTTGGTAACAAGAAATCCCCAGATCATGAAGTGTAAACAACAACTGGATGTTCACGCAGAGCTTTGTCTTTCTATCTATTGTTATGAGAGCATTTACTGGTAAAAATAATACAGTTCCTGGGATTTGCCTTCTAACATGCCAGCAAAAAATGAGGAGGAGAGAATAATTAACAAGGATTTGGTGAACAAATTAAAAAACCCCGAACACGTATGTCCTTCATCACCTACTCCACACATGGCCACATCAACTTGAAGTGGACCTCGGGCAAAAAATAAATACATACTGCTCTTGTCGAATTGCTCAATGTAATACCTACAGGAGCCATAAACATGCAGCATGGATTCGAAAAGGCAAATGAGCAGATTGAAAGAATGAATGCTGCAGGAGAGAAGGTTCCCAGCCTCATCATCACTGTGACAGGCGGAGAACTGCTGTCAGAATCCTTTGCAGAGACCAAGGTTGAAGCTGCAAAATCTAAGCAGTTGGGGGAACTCTATTTTGTGGAAGTGCAAGATTACCAGAAATACCAGCTACTGAAAATTGCTGGCAAAGAGGGTCATGTGTTTGGAGTGGACACTGGATACAGCGGACTCAAAGACATCGTTGACCCAGTGAGTGGAGGAGGGGGATGAAGGGGGCTGCATACCCCCGCCGGTCCTTCCCATGACCCTGCCACTCCTCTCTCTCTATTTCAGCTCCTAGCGAGGTCTTGTGTGCAGATTACATCTATGGATTTCTCCACTATCTGCACTAGAGATAAAAAGAAAGCAAGGTTATTGGTTTTTAAAACATATACAAGGATGAAGGTATCTTTCAATTTCGAATTGGAAAGGAAACCACAGGAATAAAGGCTGTATCTGTGCAACATACCTCCATTACATGCCAGGAATGAAGATAAATAATCCGGGCCAGGCCATCTTCATTGATATCAGCCTGAATAATGGCCTCACCTTTATCAAGACTGATTTAGAATCAGCAGGAGGAACTGTGTGACTTACAGGGAGCAGACCCCACCTGCCCTACTGGATGCCATACTACCAGCTGCCCAGTGACGTGCCTTTCCAGATGCTGTGCCAGAAGACACACAGGGTGTTTACCCAGATGAAGGGTCTTCCAGTTCAGTTTTCCCCAGTTTCAACACTCTCTACTGGGCTGTGCCTCTCCTGATGCTGCCCTTTATCCTGCTGCTGTGCTGTTGATTCTGCCAACGGTGCATTAAATGTAGCCCAGCATCACCACAGATGTGCCCCGTGGTGCTTGTGTCATGCTGTTTTAAAGAGAACACAACAGAACTGAAGAGGTGTTATTCTGCTGTCCCCCTAATGATGCCCCATCATGGGTCGTTGTCTGGCCACACATGGATCTACCATCAATCCAGCTGCCATTGCTCCAACCTCAGCAGCACCTGCTCATGGTGCCAGGGTGCCCAACCCAGTTGCTGCCAGCTGAATGATGCCACTCATACCTGCTGCAGCCTGGATGCTCTGGAAAGCCGCTTAGTAACTCTCACCCCATAACACAATCTCTACAGCACCAAACCCCACCCCTAAAAAAAAAATTTTCTGAGGGTGAAGGAGAAATGAATGATTCTTTGGCCAGCCTAGATTGAGACCTTCAGGTGAACAATCCTAGGTACCTAGAGATTTACATTTTGCCAAGTCACATCTAGTTCCTATTTTTCCTGACTCATGATATAAAGTGGGCATCTTTTCTATGCCTTGTTGAATTGTCATACTCCTATCTAAATCAGGATCAGCCCTCAATATTTTATCTTTTGCACTTTCAAAGTCATGAAATATCTCTGAGAATTCTTTTTCTAATAAAACTTTAGGTTTGAAATAGCTGTGGTGTCTCTTGGAATTCTGTGCAGTTTTTAAAGATTCTCTACAGGTTTCTGGCTAGCCATTGGACACAACCTAGTAGTATTTTACAGGATCACTTTCAAAATATTCACAATGATGCTTACCTTGAGATAAGCAGTTTTTAATAATTGTAGTATCTGATAGCAATGATTTTCAAGCTTTTTTCATGTGACATTGTACTCAAAGCAGAACTATTCTAGAATGTAAGGGCTCGGGACAGGAGGGCCTAGAGTCCTATCCCCTGGTCTGCCCTTCAGCGCCTCAGGCTGACTCCCAACATGTCCCAGAGTGTGGTTTACAGATGTCTGCTCTCTGGAACAGAGCCAGATCTATGGTTGATAAGGTAAAGTCATGAAGAGACCTACACACCATGATGCAGGTCAGCTGGGACTGGACGCATGGGTGGGCCCTTTCCTGGGTGCTGGCACCTCAGACTCATCCCAGCTTCAGTGGAAATACCCCACCCCTCTCTTTCTGTCTATCTGTTGCAAACCACTGATTAGGATCCAGAGTTACTCCCCACCCATCCTTCTAAACGATGACTCAGATTGCTCCTGGCTTTCAGCACCCACTGTGAACATGGCTTCGATTCCACTTTTCCATGCCTAACTTCACCAGCAACTCCCAAACCTGGCCTGGCTTGCTGAGACACCAGCCTGGGATCCAGGGGCATCTTACGTGGTCACACACACACACCTGATTTGTGTTGGTATTTCTCTCCCCACCTCCCTTTTGCTATTTGAGCTTCCCTCAGATGCACATCTTTGTCCTCAAAGTCTCCAGGTCCTGAATTACTTCCTTGCCTTCTTTACAGGATCCAAGCCAGCTGTTGGAACTGGTTATTCCTTTTATTAACTGTCAGTCTGCCTTTTAAGTTAGACCTCACTAATGTTTTGGCCATATCTTTATGAGCATAATTCCGGGGCAGATGCCATGGAGAATGGAGTGGGATTGAAATACAGAAGGAAGTAGATGAGAAACGAAGGACAGTGTTCTCTTTAAAGCTTTCCCTAATGCTACTGTTATCGTTATGAAGATGCAGAGAGGAGGGGAAGAGGGAAGGGGAGGATTTAATAGGAAGATTCTATCAGAAAGAGGAAGAATAAATGCATGTCTAAATGCTGCTTGGAAATCTGGGGAGGTAAGTGTGGCTGTGTGTGTGTGCGTGCGCGCACGCGCACAAAGTTCCTTCGCCTTTCTGAGTGTCCCAATTCCAAAGCATTATGACCTCACACCTCTCATAAAATCTAAACTCTATTTGAGAACTTCCATCAAAACTTAGATGTATATTTCAGAATGTTTGATTCCTAACACTTACCAGCTGATCATCCAGTTCCAAAAGTTGTTCCATGTAAGTTTCAGACAATCTCCGAATTTTTGGTTTCATTAGTGGATCAATGAACATATAGCCCTTTAATAAGATCACAAAACACAGTAAAAAATGAATTTCATTTCACAGTAGTCAGTTCCATAATTAAATCAGTAATTTTTATGGGTGGAGTGTAAGGGAGGAGGAGGAAGAGACATACTCCACTGGGAGAAGCACACGGGAATCACTTGGAGGGCTTTTTCAGACTATCCCCCTGGAAGGTTTTCTTGTGCCAACAAGAAGACATGCGTCCCTTTCCTCAGCCCCACCTTGAAAGAAACTGCCCTATGAGCACATGTTATTGATGAGAGCACACTACAGTTCCTGTTCCTATTGAAGTCTTTGGGACTTAAAAGCCTGTGGAAGGATTTTTTAAGTCTTGAGATTGGAGGCACTCTTAGGCAAGACACTATACAAAGAGTATGTTACCTTCAAAATAAAATATCTCCCTACCATAAATCAAAACAATACTTACCAGAGAAGACTTTCAAGACCAGTTTCCCTTACAGTAATAATCATTTCCTCTAAATATCTGAGAGGATCCTCAGTACATGTGACAATTAGACCACATAACAGAGCCTGGGGAAAATGAAATGGAATCAGTGTTTCTGGGTTCACATGTTCTTACTAAGCCACAGATAGACTTTCTCTGATATAATTACTGTAAGGTTGGAGACACCAGAGGGAGGGATGAGCATGTTGGACACTGATGACGTGCCAAAGTCCCCGGCTGCTGTCCCCTCCCAACCTGAAAAATGTGCCTTAGGCTAGCCAATCCTCGTGCCACTGTAAATCTAAGCTCTGCCTCCCCCTACCTTCTTTAAAAAATCACTGCCTGCCCTGCTGAGTGCGACTTCCCCAGCCTCCATTTCTGTAGACATGGGGAATTGCGCTCAAATAAACTGCCTGGCCCTTTGTTGCCTCTCCTGCTTATTTCAGCTAGAATTTATCTTACATTTGGTGCCAAAATCCCGGGAAGGAGTGTGAGTGCGGGGCCCTGCCCGGCCACCGGTGGCCCTGCCCCTTCCTTCCCCAACCCAGGACCTCAGCCTGCTCTCCGCTGCGTGGACTATCTTCCAGTGAGTCCCTCAGTTTCCCCCGGTCTGTTTCCAACTCCATTTCACCTGGTCTGTCTGAAATTGTAGCTACTTCCAGGTCTGGGCATCCAGCCCATCCGGGATACCCACCCCTGGCCCTGTGGTGGGGGAGACATCCCTCACCCAGGCTCCCAGGACATCTCCCCTGACTTGGTGCGCTTGGGACGCTGGGTGCTCCTCTCAGCAGGATTAGTTGGGGAGTGGCGCAGACATGGGGAACCAGCCCTCAAAAGCAGAGGCTCAGACCCCATTGTGGTGTCTCATTTCTAATCTGGCTACTCTATATTTGTCCCAGGAAGTTGGCAAATAGAAGCTAGTCTTTCTTTGCTCTGAGGCCGGGCCTCAGTATCCCTTGGACAACCAATCTCGCTGGCCCCCTGAGGGAACTTTTGATTTTGGCCTCCTCACTGACTTAACTAATTATTGCCACTGGAGCAGAGAGTAGGGTGAAATCCCATATGTGCAGGCTTTTTGGATTTAGTGCTCCCACCCAGACCTTTATGTTAAGTGTTCAACGACTCAGGTTCTCCTGGCCTGATCTCCAGTTAAAGATTGTCAGCCTCTTACTCTGCCCAGTCCTTCTTCCTTCTCAGATCCGCCGGAGGACCTTAGTCTCCCACCTCTCTCAGCTCGCTACCCCCACCCCTCTCCACCACCATCTTTAAGTTATTTGTCCTCCCCCATGTTGCTGCCATCTTAAAGTCCTACATTCTCAACCATGCCATTGTCCTGCTCTCCTCTTCCAGTAGCTGCACCACCCCTCCCCCTCTCCTTCCGCCTTCACCACCCTCTTCCCCCACCAGAACACGCTCCTCCTATCCTCTGGTTCCGGAAGCCATGGACAAGAAGCTAAAAAGAAAGAAAGCAATTAAATATCAGTAACTCAAATCTTTATATCAGTTTGTCTGTCTGTATATATGTTTTTATATGAAAAAGGTTGCTAACTGTAGTTGTTATGTCTAAATTTGTATGTTTGTGTGTCTAAGTGTGTAAATGAAAAATATTTTCCTACCTCTGGATGGTATTAATAAAAACTGATTTAAAAACAAGCGCTTGTGCAATTTAATTAGTAGTTTAAAACCTATACATGCTTGTTACTCTACAAGAAGATATGTCAAAGAAATAATCAATCTTCCCATGTTTTCTTCTGTCTGCTACTTTTATAGCTTTTCTTCTTCCTTCCTAATTACAACCCTTTAGTAGAATTCATGCCTCGTATCGAAAATTACCGAGTATCATAATTCTTCCAAGTGGTAAAGATACCTCGAGACAAGTGCTGGGCATAGAAGCCACAGGGCATAAATCTGCAAAGAAGTAAAAAGCTAACCTTTTCAAACAATATGGCTTCTCTC